TAGCGGAAAAGCTACCTCAAAGTGTATCCGCTGTTGTGGAAAAATGTTAGGCAAGCGGCTCGACTCGACTCGGCTTTGCTGCGATGCAAATGCCAAATCGGCAGGGTGAGTCTCCGCAGCAGCGATTAACGAGCGCGAATGCCCTTAGGCCCTGGGCAATGCGATACTTGCACCGTCTGCAGAGTGTGTTGAGTGCTTAAATACTTAATGCGGTTGACTGAATTTTAGCGCGTATACTTATTCACTTACGAGTACTTGGCATACAGGCTCGAAAAGACTGCGTACATGCGCATACAAGCCCCCGCATAGCATGTACTTAACAGTTCTTTAAGCTGACAACCGCACCAGCAAAAGAAAAAGCAACAGAGCCTGCACCAGCAGAAGTCGATAGACCTTTGACGGCGCTCGCCTTACTCCACAACATATCCTGTGGCACCTCACCACAGCTCATCCTTCTTGTCAGCAGAACCTGCCAGGTGAGAGATCTGTCATGTCAGAGTCATGACCCATGGGTCGCTCTCGGATCACACCCACCCAAGCTAGTTTTCAACGCTTCCAAATGGCAGCTCTATTTCAATTTAATTTGCATTTTTAATTATCATTATCATCAGCTGGCCCGTCCTCTTTTTAAGAATTTTTTACTATAGCTGTCATTAAAAAAAAAATTCTATCTAGATCCAAAACCATATATAAAGCTTTCTTCAACAAATTTTTGTTTTGGTATGTGTATTAAAAAAAAAACAGTACAAGACACTCAAAATAGTTTGTTAATTTTGTATTACACATCGTAAATTTTGTAGTGTAGGGTATACAAACATCGACTACCCTTCGAAAAAGTATTCAGGTTTGTTAGCATTTTTTGTTTGACTGCAAGGTGCGAAACCATTTGTTCGTTTTATTTTTATTGTGGGTCAGTTTGTATATTTAAATGCATGTCGAGGGCTGGCCAAACTTGGCACTCATCATGTCTAACCAAAAATTAGCAATGTGTGGTTCTCGTCAGCTGCCTTAAATTGCTGCAGACCAGCCCAGATCCTTTCTCGGCCTTAGCCTAATTGACATATAATTGCGGGTCTATTTTGTTAGACTAGGGAACCAGATAAAGGTGATAAATGAAAACCATACAGAGTGCAAATTATACAGAGTGCCCCTCAAATTATAGACTCTTCAAATGTTACACATGTTAGTCTTGCACTCCCAGCGCTCCCGGCGCCGATGCCACAATGCAGCTCAGGCCAACACACTAAGCCGCATGAGCTGCTTAGCTAAGAATTGAACTCAATACACGAATGATGTGTAATTAGCGGCAAAACCTTACAAGTACTGTGACTGAGCCGTGAATCAACGTGCTATTACCCAGCGACTGTGATCAAAGACGCGAATAATGCGCACAATTGCAATCGCCCAAAGTAGCTCATGGGCTTGAGATTTGAAAACAGAAGACGCTTAGATCATTTCAAAATGAATTGCCAACACGGGCTCTTTCAATCATTTTATCATTTGATTATACCAGTATTCAATTCTGTTAAAATATTTTTTAAAATCAACATCAGTTTTGTGTTGTATACTTATGTTTGTTAAAAAGCCTCAAAGGTCGTAACATAAATATTCCGATCACAGCCACATTCGAAAATACTAAATTGCCAAATCCAGCTCTCTTAGATGCAATATGTGGGTCTTAAGCTATATGACTGAAAGTCATCTTTTCGTTGCACTAAAGGAACGTAAGGGGAAAATAAAAACGATTTTCAAAGGTTTGTTTTAGGTTCACTCAACGGGAATAAAATAGGTGGCAAACTTTGACTTATGTTTTATGTTTTTTCGATCGAAAGAAACCCCTTTTCAATGGGTTTAAAAGTGGCGTCTAAAATTTGAAGGACAAATTTATCCCGGGCAAGACTGAGTAACATCCCTTAGTTAATATTACTTTTTAAAATAATAAATGAATGGGGTATGTGGGAGCAACATAATTATAAACAATTATAACAACCTTCATGTCTGTAACTCTTAAAAGCGGGCACGAATAATTTGCATTTGAATTATTCATTTAGCACGGATCAAATCTGGTGTTACCAGCTAGTTACATACCTATTTATTACTTGTAAAATATCTGTCTTAGCTAGTTAGCTAGTATTTTGATAACTTTGTGATTTCACCAACAAAATATTACATTTATTATATTTTAATTTTATTGCCATGTAACATTCTTACCCAGTAAAGATTTCAAGAGTTTTGTTTTTCAGGCCATGTAAAACGTTTTATTATCTTAGGCTTTTCTATACAAATTTCTCCCATACATTAATTTTTCAATTGACTACGTCAAATTGGGTATTTGATTTGTGAGAGCAAATATATTGCGGGCATTTCTGGTCATGCTCAGCAGGACATTCGCCCTCCGCTCCGCTTAGTGGACAACTCAGCTATTGCTGAGGTCAGGCAAATACATCTGCTGACTGCCTTGGCAACGACTGCTGCTGACAAACTGGAAACCATATGAAAACAATAATATGGTTCCATGGCCGATCCTTGGCTCGGTTTCTTTACGGTCAACTGCAACAAATGGATGGCAATAAATTAAAAATTCGTTTGACTTCTGCCTCCTGCCTGCTGCCTCCTGCCCGGGGCAATAGGACCAAATCGGCCCTTGTTTCTAGCGCTCCCTGTGCCGCTCTCAGCAGTTATCCTTGACCGCCCTCGCATTGTAAAATGCTGTGTGTCCGTCTCCTGGCACCTACATATCAATTGTGCGTGTGTTTGCCCAGCCATAATTCAGCTTGACAAGCCAAAAACCATTAGTAAAGGCAATAAAAATGACAATAGAGCCAAATTTCCATATTGAAGCAGTGTGTGCCGGTTTTCGTTTTAGGTTTCAGTGCCTTTTAGCTTTGGCAGTTGTCAAGGCATACGCCAAGGCATATCGTGTTCCCATCTACTTGAATATAATCCAATTACCGATCATGTTGTACAGAAATCGAGTACAGTTCGCCACTGCAGTCCCGGCATATTAAATGTGGCACATAAATCATTTGCCGAGTGCGGCGATAATATTCGTAGTTATTACGAAAAGAGCTGGCCATCAACAACTGAGCATATCAGAAACCCACATTTCCGCTCCGGCAACTGCCAGCATTTAGATAAACAATTACACAATGCCAACTTCCGGTTTGAAAAATGGTTGCCCTGCCAGCAAAAAGAATAAAGACGCTGGCATGAAAAACGAGACCCATTCAAATGTTGGCAGCAGCACAAAATGGTCAAAGCAATAATTTACAATCAGGCGACAAATCAATGTACCAGGGGGTCGACGTTTGGGCAAGAATTTCGGTTCGGATCGCTTCAATTTGGCCTGCACAAAACATATTGCAAATTGTAACAAAATGATTGTGTTAAATACATTTTCGACAGCAATCGAAAAGAAAGGCGAGAACGGCAATGGAAATAAATCGAATTTGATAAAGTGCCTGTGCAGTATGTATAATGAAATACGGAACATAGCACAAACTTGGATTGTACAGTTTAAGATGACATTCGAAAGTATTTAAATAATGTATTTTATACTTTTGCTATTAAATGTCATTCTAGATATATGATTTTTATATGTCGAGGGCTCCATTTATTTACTTTATATCTGTACTATCGGGAATTTTCCGCCCTTGACTGTCAGCTTCAAATTTTAGATAAAACTTCCCCTATCCACACCATTTCCTGGCCGTAGATAATAACAATCTTCCTTTAATATCTTGAACTTAACGTTTAAAGGCTTATTTCATATATATATTTATTTGAAAATATTTTTAAGGTCCGTCGAATTAAGAACCATATGCTGAAACGTTTTATTGCGTTGAGAGTCTGGAAGCCAAAAACAGGAACTTTCATCTAACCTTTGACCTGCAATTCTGTCCTAGAGCGCTGAAAAATGAATCAAAGATCTTTGCGAATGATTTTAAAGAAGATCGGATGGTTAAAATTTGCCGATAAGTGTGAGACACCCCTCGAATGAATTTGAAAATTAGTCTGATGCCGATCGGATAGTAATAAAATAAGGTTGCACTTGGTTTTAGGATGGGATTTCCCAGAAGCCCGTCTTAGCGAGCACCTCCATCACATAAGGTAAGTACATTAATTATTTCAGTTTCTTAGCTCCGTTTGGGGTGTGCCTTGATGTTCAATAAGCCAGTTAGTCGGGACAAACAGTTTAATATATAGAAAAATTTATAAATGATGGCAAGTATACTACTTGAAGTTTCACCCATAAAGCGTTAGAAACAACAGATTCTTAGATATAGGAAATATGTGTTGAGTGGTATGTAATTTAAAATATATTAAATCGGCTGCACCAATATGTATTGAATCATAAAGAACATAGAGGTTTAGCGGCTTATTTATATAGTTCTTTAATTTTGTATTTTTACATGGCTGCTGCTGATTAATTAGCTTTCGACATTCACTTAAGCTGCCGCAACTAGTTGACCTAACTAATTTATGTATTTAATTTTCACACTAAACGCCACAATTTATTTGAGCGGCATTTGCAATGGCTCATCCTCGCCGCAGTGCACACACGTTATAATTCTGTTCGCTTTGAGTGTGGCGACGCCTCATAAACAATAATAAATCCCCCTCTGGCAGCCATTGCGAGAATATTTATGTGGAATCAAAGTACAATCTGCCAGGCATGCCATAAAAGAAAGCCCCAAGATGCCACGCCAGACAGCATATTGCCCAAATGCCATATAACGTTGGCTACGCCTGCCGTGAGCCGAGGCCTCTGGCCCACCAACGCCTCCTCAATTCTAAATGTTCCATGACGTGTCGCTATTTTCGTCAAAGAGAATATAAACTCTTTCGAATGGAATTCACAATGCACATAATACTCACATGCAATGCGTACTAAGCCAAACAAAACTAAATCCAACTGTCTGCACTCGACAACAACATGACACAGAACATTTAAAATTATGACAGTTTTTATTTTCAACGGAATTCACTTTATTTTTAGTCAGTCAGTCGTTCCGGCTTGGCTACGTTTGTCTTTGAAAATATGTAAGTATATTGTATTGTGATCTTTTGCCCAAATGTATATGATCATGAGGGATCAGTTTTACAGTCTAGATACATTTAACTATTTATTTTATTAGGCAAATTTAAAAATGTTGCAATTTAGACTGCATACCCTTAGACAGATTTCATAATACACGTGCTTCTCCAGCATTGGGAACGAAGTCAGAGTTAAGTGCTGGAAAGCACGTTAATAAAATCGTCATGATGGAGCGTTCGAACAGCTGGATATATTTGGGCAGGCCAGGACCTAGACCCGAGAGGTCAAACCTGGGTCGCAACCTGTGACACGCATACACAATGAGAGAGATAGTCAGAAAGTGTGAGTAATGGACAGGGAGATACGGACACAGATACACATTTAAAGGAGAAATTGAAACGGATTCTGGATTCTATGTGATGCCATCGAAAATCTGTGGAAGTCGTTTTGCAGCCGGCTAGGAAGATGGCCATAAATTACCGGCGACTATTCAGTATCGGTCAATAATAGGCGACAATAAAAATTTATTACAGTTTGACCACCATGAAATTATCGTTAGGCACTTTCGAAGGCACCTACACGCCTATGCAATAAAGGCGAAGGACCTCACCTTTCAGCTGCCAAAAGAGAGGTCAATGAAAAATGACACATACTCTCACAACAGGGGAGACAGACTCTGGCAGGAAACTTGACTCTAAGACGTCTGAACGCCTGTCTGCCTGCCTGCCTCTTAACCTGACCGTCGTCCCGCCTGTCCGCCTGCAACTTACAAGGCTGTCAAAGACCGCACTGCTCGTTTGTCACATTTAACAGATTTGTTATCCTGTCGAGTTAATGTCGGGCACACAACAAGCATAGTCGGGCACCCAGGCAGCACATGTCCTGGCCGTTCATAAGAAATGCTCAAGGGGGACTTGAAGGGAAACGAGTACTCCGGTCGAGTTTGATGTCGCTGCCGCTGCCAATGCCGCTGCTTGGCAATAAAAACAAAAGATTGATGGCATTGGGCACACGTTCGATTTGTTTTCCTGTTGCTATTGCCATGTCCTTGCCTTTAGTGCTTTGTAATGTCTTAACATTTGACACATCACTCGGATTTTCCGACCCACATCGATATTGACGCTGCTACGCAGCCAGAACTACAACTGCCACTACCACGATTACCTACCCCCGGCAAGGATATGCTCGTTAGTTAGGGTTTCTAATAAATTTGTGCAACACATTTCTTCTGTTTGGCCCTCGTTCTCATTCCTGTCGACGCTTGTAACATTTTTATTTGATAACATATTGCATTTGGCCGCCGCCGCCGCCTTCGTGCGCTCGAATCTTTCGGGCGAGTTACTAAAATATTGGATGTTTCGGACTCTGCACATGGTGCTCAACGCTGCCACATCCACATCCACATCCGTGTCCATGTCCGTCTACGGCTCAACTGGCCAGTGATTTATGGCGTCTGTGTTGGCCATTCAACTGCATTTGATTTAGGTTGTAAATTGTTGTATATTGTGGCCATGTCTGCGTTTCCTGTTCGCTTCAGTTTGTTTGCTCGTTCTTGTTTGTTGCTTTGGTTTCGCTTTTTATTTTCATCTCTATTTTGAAATTTACGCTAATGAATTTATTGCACTTCCGCTGCTCTTTGCAAAGTTGGAAATAGTTAATAACGGAGTGATTTAAATTGTTATTAATTAGACTGTGTATAACATTTGTATGCTCCAGTCGAGGCTCAGAGAATAATTGAGATGCCCGATTGTCATTTGAAAGAATTGCTAATATTTTACCTGTCTGAGATAATATAACCAACTACTTGAACTGCAGGCTTTCATTTACATGAGTAGCTAGATCTGACTCACAGCTCTCGTTTCGTACCTAACTCATAAACCATCCGAACAAAGTGCCAGTGGGAAGAGAACAATCGAATGCACATTGTGTCATGTCATTGCCAAATAATATTTCACACGTAAAGCTACCCAAGCAGTTCGAACGGCGAGGGCCGAAAACCCACAGAAATGCGGAAAAATAAGAAATATTACGCGCTTGCCTCACCACAGCACAGACTCTGCAGGAGGCAGGAGGGTGAAGAGAGGAAATGCTCGTTGTATGTGGCAATGGGCAGACGGAAAATCTACAATATATTGCCAACTATTATGTTATTGTGTGAACGTGCACTGATTTCGCCAGCAAGGCTTTGTCCACGTGCAATATTTTTCAGATTCTGGCAAGGGATTGGATTGGTCTGAGTCTGGTTACGGGTGCTAATGCCGGGTGCGGATGGTTCTGCTGTTGCTCAGCGTCTTATCGAGGCGTATAACATATATCATTGACACTTTGACATTGGCGAGCGACTGGGGAGTCAAAGTGTGGGCCATGACCAACCGGATTTTAGTACTTTTCAAAATGGCACTTAATCATGGCAGCCGCCTGGCACAGGAAAATGCGGAAACTGGCACACACACCACGCGTAATCGCATGTGTTCACGCTTGAAAGGATAAGGACGACGACGACGACGACGACGACGGAGACGGAGGACTGCACGGACTGGCCTCCTGCCGTCGAGCGACCAAAACGAAATAAGATTAATGACTTGGCAGCGTACTACATAGCCATGCAGAGAGACGCAGGCGAAGGCGCGCAAAAAGGACATGCTGCCTGGTATTGGATAAATTGTTTGCTACTTGGACTGTCATTAGTCGAAAAGTTTGTTTGTTATTGTGTTAAGTGTTATTTGTGCGCATATCCAAGTGTCAGCCTGCCAAGCTGCCATTTGGCTAGCCATCCCGGCAACCCGCCACCCCGCACCCATTCCTCATGCTCCCTTCTAGCTTTAGTTACTCAGTGTATCGTTTATCACTTTCGTTTTGGACACATCCCAAAAATTCGCATGTCATGTTTGGCGTGCGCTTTATATGCGTCTATGATGATGGCTGAAACCAACGCAAGCCAAACAAAAAATTACCAATGACCACAAAATTTGTGAAATTAACGGACAATGACCGGAACGGAAAGAGGATGGCGAGGATAACAGGGAAGGGTCCCTGAGATGTGCATACGTTTCGTGTCCTGAATATGTGCATCTAATGGGCGCTGCGTGACTTTGGAATTTAATAGATTTACTGTCTCAAATCAACGTAAGGAACAGACACGGATGTGGTGTTTGTTAAGCCCATTAGAAATGCAGAAGAATACGGGATTAAGCGGAAATAAGCCTCATTAATCTACAGCAATTGGAAAATAGATTCGTTATGTTCCATTTCTTAAGGATTATTATTAGTTATTTGCTGTATTTGACTTTTTACCCCTTTCTCTGGGTATTGTCTTCTCTCGATTTCAGGTGAGCTAATGCATAACAAACATTCTCGCATCTCGCAAACAAACATCTGTTGAATCTATTTACTGCTCGATCAAAGATCAATCACTATCAAACAGATTTAGCTCAACAAGAAAATTCCGCATTACTTCCAGGAAATCGACAATACGCTGTATATAAACCCGAAAATAAATGTTACTCTCGACATCGAATTTGAGATCTTACTCAACTATGCATACTACCTGCGAGAATTCTTTCTATACATGTATGTATGTATGTATTGGTTCAACTAGCTCACAAAGTCATCCGTCAAATGCGATTTCAGATGCTGGCAACAATTATTTCGTCTATTTTATTTTTAAACGAAATTAACGTGCTGTTTCTCTGGACCTGTTGTTATTGTTGTTGTTGTTAATGTGTTTTTATTACGTGAAAATTAAATGAAAAGAACGCGCATACCAATTCTCAAGATCATTTTATGAGGCTCCCGAACCCGAATCCTAACCCTATCTCTGACAGGCTCATGCTGCGCCGCGTCGCAAAGTACTAGGCGCTGATTGATAGAACAAAGTAAAAATCAAATAAAAAACAAAACATTCAACTATGCACGGCCTCTGCCATATTGCGGTGCGAGATCAAAGACCGCCCCGAGATCTGTAATGACAGCTTTGATCATTGTTTTGCCTTTGATTTTTTCCGGTTCGCTGCCCGATGTGGAGCGCCCCAGGCAGAACCATCCATTGGTTCCTCAGCCTGCATTCACATCTAGTTCTCGCATTTGTATCATTTTACGAGCAATTTCGCGCCTACTTAAGATATCTCTCTGCGCAGCTCATTACACTTTTTTTCTTTTTGAGAGCGTTTTATACTACCTTATTATATAACAGTGTCATTTTGTTAGAAGGCCAACGAGGACGCGACAAAATGTGTACAGCTTTACAAATTAATAATCAATTTACCGAGCAGTAATATAGCCTGCAACTGTTAACTATCTTATATTATAGATATGTAACTTGTATAGGACGAATCAGTCGGAAATAGACTTTTGAGACTACTTATGACCTCTTTTCAAGATTGACCTAAAAGTACTGCCACCATCGTATCCTATAAACCATGAAAGTTTTCGAAAGTTTGAAATTACTGTTTCGATGTTACAGTTTTCTGCTTAATCGGTTGTTTTCTTTTTTTTTTTGTGATACGTTTGTTTGTGGGGAATTTCTATTTGTGTAAGCAACTAATCAGTGCAAACACCACAAAAATGTCAAAGGGACTGAGCAGACAAACAGCTGCGAATATCCCAAATTTCTATGCTCGCCACAAAATTTTTCCAGACTGTCCCAAACAATTTACGACATTTTAAAACGCCTTTCGACTTCTAGCAAAGTACGAGGGCCGGCTACAAAATTAGAAAAGACAACACTTTTCAAATAAATATCACGTAAACTGTCGCCTCGATTTCAAATGAATCGACTCGTGCACACTCGAAATATTTCGACTTAGGCACGATTCTCTGCCCCTGAACCATAATAAATAATGGGAGCTGCATCGTGTACTCTATTCCGAGAACCCTTTCTCTTGGAGAGCATCCAATAGACGGCTATCAATTTATATTTTATTGTTGGTGCAACATAAATTCTGGAAACCACAAGACTGAAATTTATGTAATGCCTTCGCAGAACAGCAAACAACAATGATAAAGGTTGAATGAGCTCCCAGCTACCGTTCCGTAAGATCTTTTACCTAGAGTGTAAAAAATAGCGAGTGCTTCTGTTGTTAACAGGGTCAATAAATCAAAGTTCGTGGGCCCCCCCTCAGGTGGGCTAGAAGAGACATTTCTGGTAGTCTTACATTTTTAGAAATCTGTACACCGGCCCTTGCTTTCCCAGTCGCCATAGCGTGTGGGCTCCGGTCCGCGCTGTCCACCAATTTCACCTGTATACGGATTGGTATTGTTTGGCCACGGCTTCAGTGGCTCCTTTTCGTGAGCCGGATGTGGCATTCCCTTTGGTACGGACAAAACGGGTGCACTCGATCGCATTTTCTCCTTGAATTTCAAATAGCGTTCACTAGGCTTGGAGCCGTCTTTTATTTTGGTATCCTTCTTTTGCTCCGTGGAGATCTGTGTTTCATTAGATTCCGTATTGGTAGCTGCTGCTCCACAAAATCGAACTAAAGCTTTTGAAAACCAATTTTGGCGGCCAAAACACCGAATCATTTTTAAGAATAAAGCGGTAATTAACTGCTCAGCTAATTTTCAACGATATTAGTTTTTTGGCTATGGGAATATTTGTATATACTCAATGAATTTGAAAAGTGTTGGTTTTATATTAAATGTAACAGACAGACAGTTAATGTTTGCCTACTATAAATGACGATATTTTGGGTATACATTTTACAAAGGATGTAGGTTTATCAAATTATAATTCAAAATTTTTGACTGTGACAATGATTTTGAAGAACTTATGGAAAATCAAGTACAGTTTAATGTTGAATGCAAAATGTTCCAGCCCGTCAACCCATGAAAATAAACTCTAGCATAAGCAAGGGAAAACAAAATTCTAAAATTTCAATAGGAGAACCGAAATATAAGCTGATACTATGAGCTACACATTAATTCACTGTAATAACAGACCTCAGATGCGATTCTAGAGTAACCTAACCTACCAAAAACATTTAAGAGTTGTCATTATTATTCACTTTCTATTGTTACATTCGTTATGCGTTGCATATTGCCAACAAATTTACTTGGACGCGTTTCGGTTGCTATTGCATTGCATTTGTTTGACATTATGTACTCGAACAGCTTGTCCAAACAGTTTGACGTGAGTCTAGTTGACAGCAGAGATCAAATGTCTGCCTTTAAAGCTCGACTATCTGCGGCTGGCTTGGCAGTCACAGACTTGACTGACAGAGTGACAGAGTCTAATGACTTTGCAGCAGCAGCAGCAGCAGCAACAGCAACACAGCTGCGATAAAGATAAGCAACGAATATTTTAACTTCCGGAAATGAGTAGCTGGTTGGCAGTTAGCTAAACAGCTAGTCGGGCAGTCAAGTTGTCAGGCGGCAGTCAGCTGTCAGGCGGCCGTTAGCTGATTCATTCATTGATGGCAGCAATTAAAACCGGACATGTGTTACTGCAGTCGGGCCCGGAGATAGCGAGCCTGCCTGCTCTGATCGTGTCAAACGGACAACCATTCAACATAAGTCGTTTCGCGCCCGTCTCTAAGGCGACGCCTTGCAGTTTGACTAGAGTTCCAGTTCCAGTTGCAGTTGCAGTTGGAGCTGGAGCTGGAGGCGGTGGAACTTCAAAGCATTTTAAATATGGCTTGTGTGCATTCCGGCGGCCTGAGGAGAGCGCAAGTGTCTGTCACGCTGGCGCAAAATCACAGCGACATTGCAAAATTTGTTCTGCCATCAAACAGCCCACTCGGAATCGGAGGAGCTGAGCTCCCTGCCTGCCTGCCAGCCTGCCGTCGGCGTGGCATCTTTTATTATGTGCTCTGGGCTTGGCCTCTGCTTTTTGTTTGCTGCTGCTTTCTTGGGGCAACATTAAAAGTTGCCGGCTGTCAAGATTCGCATGCGTTTGCATCGTTCTCCTTGTTGACTGCAACTTTCTTTCTTTTCAAGCCCCCGCCACGGAATTGGACTTGGAGCTGGAGTTGGAGTTGGAGTTGGAAGTTGAGATTGAGGTTGTTAATTCGCTCCTGTCTCTGGCAGTGTGTCAGCTGGCACAGCGGGTTGTGGTTATTGTTGTTGTCACTTTTTGCTTCAGCGGCAAAATTGAAATTGTTGCTTTAACGTTGGCATGACAATAATCTCGCAAATCTGTTTAAATTAAGCGAGACAAATGTTTCTTTTTTCTGCGCGCACTCTTGTGGCAGGCCAATCAGACAACCGACCGGACAACCAAACATCCGCACAGCTTGTTATTGTCCTCCACGCTTTAACAGCCATGTCCATACGTGTGATAGTATTTATGTTAAGCATTTGATCCCGGCCTGGCATTTTCATTTCACAAAATTCAAGAAAACTTTGCTTTATTACAGTCTTTACAGCCGACAATAGCCGAACAGATTTGTTAGATGAACATAGCTGAACAGATTTGTTAACTTATATTGTGCATTTCAAAATTAAAGATATAAATATGGCTTTCAAATGTGTGTCTACATACCAAATCGTTAGGTCTAGCTTTAAGATAGATTTGATTTCAATATGGGGGAAAATAAAATACAATTGATTCTGCGTGAAAAGAGAAGTCCGAGTTTTCATAAATATCCTCACCAAATCTTTGCCACTATTTATACCAAGGTGGAATGAATTATCCGAAAAGTCGGGAACTTCCGACTAGAGCTTCTTTCTTGTTTTTTTACCCATTTGCAATGGGCACAGGGTATAGAAATATTCGATTTGAAAATATCGATGTTAAAAATCTGCGAAAACATTTTGAAAAACTTACTGATTAATGAATTAAATCGTATAAAATACGCAAACTGAAAGTTCCTGTAGCTTTGATCAGCCGTCAGGTGGTTTGATCGATTCCCAACAATAAAAATTCACCGACAACTTGTTCATAATGAAGATCTGTTGTTGCTTCCACCTTATTGGCGATATAGTCGGTCGATCTTATTGTTTTGGTGCGCACGGGGCATCAATCACCCGAGACACCCGACTCATTGCCATTTCTATGGACATGGCTGTTGGCATTGATGTTAGTCTCAGCATCGGCATCGGCATCGGCATCGGCATTGGCATCGGCATCGGCGTGGTTGGGGCCGATTGCCTGGTTGCCGGACTGCCCACCCGTAAACTTGTTTGATCCTTTTTTATTTTACGGAACAATCGAGCATTTTCACACCGTAATAAAAACCTCAAACATGTTTGTAAAGTTGTTAATGCTGCTGAGCATGGGCTGGGCATGTGTAGGTGGGAGCAACGCATAAATTAACATTTTGACTGCCAACTGGCGCGGCAAATGATCAAAGACACTTTGTGCCGTCATCGTTGCGTTGATCATCGTCATCGTCAGCAGTCGGAGGCGGCATCGCGAACATCATTTCACGTTTACGATCCATCAACACGAGCCATCAAATTGTATACAAACAAACGCAACAAAGATCAAAAGCCGTGTACCTACACACACAAAAATACCGGAGCATGCTCATTTCGATTTTCAAATTCATTTGAATAAAATCTGGGACCGGGTCCCGCCATTTGAGAGTTGCCTTTCAACAGCTACCGCTGCCGAAAAGACACTGACACTGCAGCATGAAAATGGAAATAAATTGGAAATGCCTCTTCAGTTGCCAGTCTGAATGCACATTCACTTTAGCTCCACTCCTCACATTTTTAGCTAATTACTTATGTGTCGACGACTGGGTCCAAGTGTAATGCATTTTTCATGTGTTCACATGTGAGGATTGTGTTAATCCCGAGTATGTGTGGATTATAATGTGTCCCCTATATGGGGTGTACAAACGCATCACAGAGTGTGCATATACTTAATGCTTAATCAGTATTTATAACCTGTGTATCGTTTATCTGAGAAAGGTTGGGCCAAGAGAGGTTCGAAAGTAATTATTAATAAATTAGACAACTCGAGTTTTGAATCCCATCTATCTTCGTGAATAGCTCTTTATAAGTTGGACTAATAGTTGGAATTTACTCGCAATAAATAAAATAGAACCTAAAAGCTGCACTTCAATATCCTCTGGAAATATGAGAACCAGTGGCATAGCCTTATCAAATGACATCATCGTCAAAAAGCTGACAATTTATATGTTTTCCGTTTGGCGGACTATAAAAATGTTCTGATTTAATGCCAATGAGCGGCATGTCAAATTCAATTTGAACCCTAAGATTGATACGGGCACACCACCGAGAGATGACGGCTTATGCGAAAGACCCCAATAAAGCGCAATTAGCTAGATTTATGATTATCCCTGTTATGCACAAATAATTTTTGGACAATTTTAGATATGTCTACGACGGGCGACGTACGTTCTGGGCGAAAAGCCAACGCATAATTTATAACACCAAACGTAAACAACAAAGAAGACAAATCGCTTTATTCACGGCAGTCATTCCGCAGCCGCCACAAAAACACCCCCAGCTGTGCGGAACATGGGCAGGACTATGCCGGGAGGAGGGCCGAGGGCTGGCCAAACACCCCTTTGTTTGTGATCTTCTGGTTGAGAAATATGGGCTGACAGCATTATGCCCATAACATGCCGGAGTCCATGTCGTCACCGGAGGCACATCAAATCAAATTGAAATCTGCTCGCAATTCGATATGCCTGTGCCCATTATCTTTAAAATATGATGTGTGTGGGTTTCTTTTTTCTTTTTTTTCAGATGTAGTTACCTTTATTATGGGTTTGGTAGCGCCTTTCCACAATTCTCTATGCAGCTGCCGTATGCGGGGCTTGTTTTCTACGTGTTGATTATATTTATTTGTATTATTCTTTTTTTAACAACACTAACGACATCAAATGTTGTTGCTGCATTCCTTGTGCAGTAGCAATTTCTTACCATTGCAGCACACTATGCACGGGAAATGCATTACTCTGAGGTTTGCAGGCCAATCTTTATACCAAAGCGCAAAGTTCTATTTTAAAAAATTAAAACTTGCTTTTGAAGCTTGACCCGAAATCTTTAGAGAAAGTTCCCCTGTTTTCCTCGAAGGTTACTAAATATAATTGTTAATGCTAAAGCCTTCTGCTTAGGCTTATGCACACATTTTCAAGCTGTATTTAAAAAGAATCAAGAATTCCGTCTCCATACTGTGTGGCAAAGGCAAGAAGAAGCAGAGCTGCTTGGCAAGGTGTGTATGTATATATGAAAATAAGCTAAAATGTTTGTAGCGACAATTTGGCGTTTGTTTTGGGTATCTCCTAGACGGACACTCCTGACTTTAGCTACTTTTTCAGTATTGAAATAAACTTAGTTATTTTTATTTGCAAAGGCACACAAAAACCACACAACATATGTGAACATTTCCCGTGCCCAGCAAATGGCAATGTATGGGCTACTTGCAAACTCCTTCGTCCATCATCTATGCTCGGCTTTTCACTACGATAAGTGCTCTGGTTCAGCTGTTGTGTGTATATGTGATTAATTATACGTAAGGCCGACTCTTTTGCCGGTACGGGCTCAGAGTTCCGAAAGGATCGAAAGTAATGTCAATGTCATGGGGGTGAATAGGCGGCAGGATGAATGTTTGTCTGAATGCGCAAAGGGAGTGAAAACATTGCCAAGGGCAACGTCTGAGGGCGGGCGCTGTCAAATCTTACAAATGTTGACAAATGCATCGAAAATAATATTTGGGTAGACGAACCAGTTGGTTGGGAAATTACTATTATTTGAGCTCATTTGTGCGAACAACCTGAGGCACTACATTTTGCACAGTTACGATAATTGACGGAGGTTTTTCTTGTATGTTAGTTCATGCTGCCTCTTTTAGTTTATTTCAATATTTCGCATAACCATAACGTATGGATTTATCCATTGGATCTATCATGTCGTGTCAAACTGCGCTCTGCCGCGTTGTCCTGTCAAATCAATCATTGTTTTTTCGGGCTCCGGTTTCTTTGCCTGCCTTTTGTTATTGACGTAAGGCCGGGCCATAATTTTTCATTGCGTTGCACTCGCATGACATTAATTTTGTTGACATATTTCTTTTATTTTTCGTGTTTTTCCCTCTTTTGAACTTGCTTCCCCACTGCTGTCAGCACGAATTTACATGTGTCACAAGCTCTGAGAACGATTTTGCGCTCCGGTGCCTTCGGCGTTACGTAAGTGAGTATTTTGTGGTCGGTCCTTTTGGACGCTTTTTAAATTGATTGCATGTCCATTTGTATGAATACCCAGCAGAGTTTTCACGTTCTCAATAATTCCAATACATTTTTTTTTTAAAATTTTTATTAGCATAATTACAGAGCATAGAAAACGGCTTACATTATTATTATTACAAATATTTTTATTTTAATAATTATATAATAATTTAAAAATCAATGCATTATTAGAAAACCAATAACACATCACCCTGTGATAACCTTGGAATTACATTTATTGACATTTTTCAAAATGAACGCAATGCTTATTTATCCTGGATAATCTAAAGAAAACAATTAACTTGGATTTTCTTTTGATTATTTATTTATTGCTCCGTAGCCAGCAATTTTGGCTGTAACATGACAGGTTGGGTATATATAGAGAGCACGCTTTATCACATGAGCAAAGTTTAAATGTAATAAAATAAAAATAGTCAAGATGGGCTCCGGGGAATAATGAATTACACGACATCCGACATGCATAATTTACAAGACTAATGATATGAAAATTGATTTTAATGTCACTATAAAAGACGAATACAAACTGAGACATATAAAAAGTTTTGGTTAATTTATTGCCAGGGTGTGTGAGGAAATGGAATACCACTTAAGTCATTTAAATTTTATAGTTAACAAATTTTTATGGGATTTCAAAATCAGGCATTAATAGAAATAAGTGTTCGACCCGATAGAGCAACACAAGTAAAACCTCTAATGACTCATTTGTTGCCCTGGCCATGGAGTTAAAGTAGTGGCCCCTTCGATTGCATGGACAACTTCTTTGCCCTGGTATTTACGACTCTTCTATGTGCCAACTGTCCCCAGTAATTGTCACATTTTGTCAGCTTCCCATATTTGATTTGGGTCGCCCCGCACAGCGAAAGACAGCAATGACAACCACAGTATCCCCGGCCTTGTCAGCCTGCCCCTCTCCCTTTACCCAACTGCTCGCTCTGTATTTTTATGACAATTTTAATGCAATTTTCTAAAATAAAACGTATTTTTTATGGCTCTTTTCAAGAGTGCGCACCCTTGGGAAAGAACCTGAAAGCAGTTTCGACCTGCCAGCCTTTACGATTGGCTTTCATTTGTGTCGTCTATTATTGCTGTGTTCTCTTTTATCTCCGGTCTGATTTTATTTTATATCGTTTATTTGCTCTTCCCGCTCGCGTGTGTGTGTGTCGAAGTTTATATTTTTATTTGTTTCGACAGTTAACTTGATGTGTTTATGACACGTCTTGACACTAAGTAGCTGCTGCGGACTTGGCTACTGTCAGTGCGTGTTGACCTTTTTTATGCGTCTCGTCGTTTATCAGAGAAAGCGCCCACTTACCATCTGACATTTGTGTTCTCCAAATGGTACAATCCGTAACCCTGATTGAATAACTGAGTGGTCTTTATTAATAATTCGATAAAACTGTAATGGCTGACTGGTAAAAAGGATAGTAAAACTCCGCTTAAAGACTTTTGTAACTGAAGGGTTCTGGTAAGAGAAGCTAAATAACTTTCAGATTTTTACGAATATTTTACTCTGGCCTATTTAAAATTGAATATATGAGGACTTGACGGCGACGTCAAAACGAAATGCGGTATAACATTTCAGTTTGTTTCCGGCATTCCCGATAGCACACAAGCCAAATCAATATAAAAGTGATGGGCATGTCAAAACCGTCAAGTCAAAAATAATACTAAAACCCTAACAGGCAGACAAAGACTGAGGTAAGTTGGCTTCTGCACAGAAGTCTCTTCAAGTTAACTTTTTAGCCGTGCAAAAAAAAACAGATGTAGAGTAGGAAGAAGACTAAAAGAAAAACCGCAAAATTGAAAATACATCAAAGTTGTCTGCGGCAAGGCAACGAAAACAACAACAACAACAGCAGCAGCAGCAGCAGCAAGAACAGGAGCTGAGAAATCATAAAGAAATATGCTTTGAGTCCGGAGGACGAACAGAACAACAAGCGAACATATTCAATAACGAGAGATGTCAAAAAGCCATCATAAACAGATGACATTTCCCATATTGAGTGGCGAAAGTAAAATTTAATAATAATACGGAATACACCGACGGCGACAGCAACGAGTCAAAGTCGGGCCTGTTATACGAGACGGCTGGCACAACTACGAGGCGGATCGGCGGACTGGCGGACAGGCGAACGGGCGGACAGGCGGACGGGCGGACGGATAGGCGGGGCAGGCAACACGTCAACAACGAAAATTGACACGCCGACATAAACACTCACACATGTTTGGGCTACGACGGCCCCTGTCTCTGTCTGCGACTTGGGAGCCGGGGCTCCCTGCCGAGCGGAATGTATAGCAAAAATGTCAATATGTTGCTGGGGTTGTCAGGCCTGTCATGTCACACTGGCGCTTGGCAGCCCCCGCTCCAGACGCGGCCAAAAGCCGAAAGCCATAATGCTAAACGTGCCTTAGTTTCATGCATGAATGTTTGTGGCACATAATTGAAAGCTAGCTAAATTAATTTCAATGTGAGGCGCCAAAAACGACATCCAACAAACGAACCTAGCCAGCTTATAGCAACCGGTCGCTCGGTCTGTCGGTCGGTCAGTCGGTCGGTCCGGCTGGCTGGCCGTCTCCTTGCCCCATTCTCTTTGAGTCGCAACTAACTTTTCACACATGACTGCTGCGTGTTTGCGGTGGGCAGGGGTCGCAAAGGGCAGCTCGTTAACAGGAGCTTCACAGCTAGTTAGAAGTCACCTCATCATCGTCGACGTCGTCGTCATCGTCAGCGTCAGCGTTTGCGTTTGTACATTTTCCATGACATTTTTGACAGCTTTCGTCTAACACGCAACAAACCCACAAAACAGTTTGTAAACGCCCCGCCCTGCCCTTCACACACCTAACGCCAATTTAACATACGGAGTTTATCAATGACATTTTGGTCAACTGGGGTAATGGCAAATGGCATTGATTTAAATGAGTTTTGGCCTTGTGGCTTTCACCTGAGCACTATGTTACACGACTATATGTCTGTACAGCTAACGACTATTTTTGACTGGAATCGAACTAATAAGTGCTATCGTCGGCGCTATTTCCGGTGTGTTATCATACAAATATCAATTATTATTATTGCTTAGACGTACATTATCTACCCTATCTTGAACTGCTCCTCTCACGTTACGTTTAATTTAAATATTTTAAAATAAGTTTGAAGTTCAGCGAGTTAACAGCCAAAAAAATGTCGAACACTTGGCGTCATTTGTCTATTTACTGTTGAGATTTTGCTTCAATTATCATCCGTAACCCCCTGTGAGATCATTTAAGGTTCTGCCGGTTTCTTTATCTTTGCACTCTTCGCAACTCATAAACTAAGATCCCAACTAAGGCCTTAGAGTCATGAGGGATGGCTCCCCCTGTTCGTCCATCAGCGACTAAAGGCGAGGCTATATTAAAAGTGTGTGTATTAGTGTATTTGATGGCGTACGTGTGAAACATTTGAGGAGGCAATGGTGGTGCTGATGTCGTATGTCCTTGTCGAAAGTCTGGGTGAGCTTACTTCTGGCGATGGTCGTAAAAAACAAAAGGTCCTCATTCAGTCGTTGTCTCTAAGGGGGATTGGAGATATAAATGCCGTAGCCACCCATGGCTTAGCCACATCGCTTTTGCTAAATGTTCGATAATTTTGGCCGCAATTGCACTTTTATGACATTTCATGGTTCATATATGCCCTGTCCTGGCCACAACATAAATTGTAACAAGCCCTGCTCCACTATGGCCCTTTACTGCCATAAACTCTGACTGCCATAGTTGCCAGCTGTCGTCGAGGATGTCGTCTTCAAGGCTTTTAATAACTATTTCTATCATACTTGGCACTCCCAGCACGCACCGACATAAATGTAATATAAAATACTTGGCAACGTTTTGTACTTATCTTCGTGTCCATTCAGAGAATTTTACGACAAGGGCTCAGATAGAGCAGCATCATAAAATACACAGATAGAAGTCAGCTGCGTAAATTATTAACTTATGTTAATGCCAAAAGCCCTAAAATCTCGGCGATCAACGAAAAACTGTAATGCAGAACCTTTTTGTCTTAAAGCCGATCGACTTTAAGCTGCATAATAACAAGTGCTTGACCGAATTAGATAAATACACATCTGCGTACGGAAAAGACAGAGATAACTAATAAATTTGACTATTATATTTTACATCCAATTGAATTATTTAAACTTATAAGTCTCATAAATGATAAGCCCACATTCGCCCCCTAAGATTTAGTAATCTTACTTTTCTTTAGTAGGTGCCTTGTGTGATTGGGTTTTGGTGAATACCACTAGCCCGTATTTTGCAAACTTTGTGGAAAACTTAGTGCCTAGGTGGGAAAAGAGGCGAAGTTTACTCTACGTAATAATATATAATAATAAGTAGTATTTCATAGTGCTTCCCTGATTTCGAATATCCATGCGCGTGTAAAGATACCCTGTCTTGCTCGAGCTTTATATGTGAACTTAAATACTGTTTTGATATATACATTCAATTTTATAGTTTATTTGTGTGATTATGCATTTATCAATAATTAATAGATAATGAAAATTGACAAAAGGTTCAAGGTGGAATATGTTTAGGCCTAATGTTTGCGTAGGTATTTATACAGATTTGGGCATTTGAAATACTAAAGTCTGGCACTCGTTCATACTTGTTTCCTAATTGAAAATTATTTGCGGCGGGGCTCCTTATAAATCAACGAACGCATAATCCATTTCGTAGAGCCCCGTTCGCCCCGTTCGGGCATATTCTCCATAGTCTCCTAACTCAAGCAGCGAGGCACACAAAGAGCTTGACTCATGTCACTTGAGGATTTATTTCTTCCTTTCTTTTGGATCTCGAGCGCGAAACTTGGTAGAACGACGCCCCGATGATGGCGGCCTTTCGGTGGCTCTCTGTGCGCATGTGCGGCCCCCTTTGATGTGCTAACATTATTAAAAAGCCAATAAAACATTTAAAAACAGCTTGAAATTTTTCATTGTTGGCGTTTTTTGGCAATTGAAAGCGAACGCACCGAACCGCAACCGAAAGACTCGGCTTATTAATGCGACAACGAACAACGCCAGACAATTTAATATCTTCAATATCCCTTTGACTGCCGCACCGCACCACGGCGAACCACTGCGAACCACCGCGACCCACAGCGTGCCACTGTGCACCAAGGTGAACCGAGCCTGAACGGTAGCACAAAATGTCAACAATCAACGAACAATCACATTTTGTTTGCTGTCAATGTGACAGCCACCAATATTTATTTTAAATCACCGACAACGCTGCGTGTTTTATAAGAAGTGGCATCCCAAGCCGCTTCGACCGGACCCCTTGCCTGCCCCTCTCCATTCCCATCTATTGCTGCTTGATTGGTCCCCGTTTACTTAGGAAGCAGCTACAGTGTTTGTTTTTGGCTTCCAATTCGTTTGAATCAGCTTCGTCTTCGTCTCCGGCTTCGAATGCGGCTCAGGCTCAGCGACAGTCAGTCAGCCACATGCCAACATCAAAATAAAATACAAATATCTTTGACAGCTACTGTGGAGTGGGCAAGCAAGAGAGCGCTATATATAAACATATAAACATATATAGAGAAAGAGTGAGAGAGAGAGAGAGAGCGAGAGAGAGGGAGAGAGGTCCATATTCAGTCCGACTTTGAAGTCCAAGTCGACGACGTGCTCATCATTCGTTCCTCTTCTGCGCTTTTGTCATGTCAACGGAGCAGCGGTTCCTCGAGTCGTGGCCAGCTTAAATCTCATCCAGTCAGACAGGCAGCCAGTCAGACAGGCAGTCAGGCAGCTAGTCACCCAGTCACATATAGTCGGTAGTTTAGGAAGGCAGTCATTTCCTTTTTGGTTATTTTTTCAGCCATTCAACTTGATTATGCGTGTGTGCGTGTGGGTGACACACATTCCTTTTTGAGCCAGAGCCAGGGCCGTACATTGCAGTACGGCATTACTTCAAAGGATATGTTTGCAATCTGCGTTTTTCTTAGCGCAGTCCAAATGTCAGAATCACAAAACGAGCTCAATGCTTGCTCATATTGTTCCGATCCTAAGACAATAGAAAAAAGGTAACAATGTCGTCCTGGACCTGGAGTTTTTGCGAATCCAACCACATATGTCATACTTCTTAAAACACAATTAAAACGCGGTCTGCTTATAATTTATTATTTCTAAGTAGAGTATTTTGCTTCCGCTTGTGTAGCATCAATCGACTCCTCAGGTTCGGTAATAAATCTATTTTAGTGTACAGTTTATCACAAAATCTTGCCTAGAAATCGATAATACCACATGTCTCCACGTGAAAGCCTTGCGGTTACATTTTTGTATTTCCAACCCAAAACCGATAATGAAATTAAATGTTATAAAAAGTATCTCCTAATGAAAAATATTCGCTAGTCCTGTCTATAGGAACTAAAAAGTTGGTATTTTATATATGTTATAAGTAAATTCTCGAATAATATGTATAGAACAAATGTTCGAGTTCCTTAATATCGATATATGTATATTGACTAAAGAAGAGTGTGCTATAGAGGTTTGTGTAAATATACACAGGTCGAGACTTTATTATCCAATTCCCTAAAAATTAAACTTAAAACTCTCTTCCTAAGGTACTGTGCTTATGTTTATGTACATATGTTAGCACATTATTTATTATGGCAGATTGGGGCTGGGTCGCTGGTGTCTTCCCTTTCAATTTGTTCCATAATGTTGGGACATTAC